CTGTAGGTTGAATACTGTGTGGTAATGGTGAGAACCTGTGGTCGTGCTGTTCCAGGCTGCACATATCCCGGGCTCTGCTGTCACAGCTGCTCTGCGTTAAACGAGACCTCGTGTGATTGCAGGCCTCAAGGACCTGGCCCAGGAAGGGTGACGAGGTCCTTAGAAAGATTTGCAGCAATTGTTGAGAGAGGAGAGAGGCTCACAAGGGTGTGGCACGAACGGGAGCTGCTGTGGTCTGAGTGGGAGCTGTCTTCCCTAATCTTTCAATGGTTAGTCATGGGACTGTCCAGCTGGTCACACTGTTTGGGAAGTTGTGAAACCCTTAGCAAGTAGAGACTTGCTGGCAGACATATGTCATTAGGGTTGTTAGGGTCTTCACCCATGGCACCACTTCCTGTCTGAGGATGCAGTGTGACCAGCCAGCCTCCTGCTCCTTACATCCTGCCTTTGCCACCAAGATGGATTCTTAACACCGAACTTCAGACCCTTTTGCCTTCATTTCCCTCATACTGAGACTACAAGTGTGTAACCACGCCCACTTTATGTGGGTGCTAGGGATGGGACCCAGCAAGCTCTCGGCCAGCTGAGCTCCCAATTTAAGGGGAATTTCATCTCCTGAACAGTTTATGTTAGATATGAATTCTGTCCAGCTGTAAAGATCCTATGTGATAGTTTTCTCTTAGAGTACACTATGTTCTTTTCCTTAAGTGTTTTTATCTTTAACACCCAAAATAAAATGGTCAGAGTTCACTTTTTTTCCCTTCTATTCAGTTAATGGTGGTTGTCTCCCCAGACAACATATACACAGCAGCTTTCTAACTGCCTGCCATGGGAATCAGTACGTTAGGTCCTGGAGTTTGTGCCCTCTCACCTGCAGTGCCCGCTGGGCTGTCCAGTCATGGCTCCTCTCATGCTGCCTTGTGTCCAGGCTTTCTCTATCTCCTCCCCTCTCCACCCTCCTAGACCAAGGGGTGACTGCCTGTCTTCACTCATTAGAGTGGGGCTTCTCCTGGTAAAGCACTCTGGTCTGGGAACACACATCAAGCTGCCTGTCCCTCTTCTGCAGTGTCCCTCTCCTGACCTTACTGCTCACTAATGTGTAGAAGAACCATTAGGCCAATAATCCTGCAGGAAACTGAGAACAGAGTATGTGACGAAGGGAAGTGTAAATAGCACATGATGGTTTGGCTAGATGCTGTTGGAAATTTGTTGTTGTTATAGGTATGGGCCCTGTGTACACACGTGTGTGTGTGTGTTCACATGAGTATCAGCATACACATGTGTGGATGCACTATGTTCATGCTTCTGGAAACAAGAGGTTGATGCCACGTGTCTTCTTTGAGTGCTCTTCTTGTGCTCTCTCTTGAAGCCACTTGAACACACCGACTTGACTGCTGTTGCTAAGCAGAGTGCTCTGAGAACCCCTGTCTGGGCCTTCACAACACTGGCATTAGAGCCAGGTCGTCGCACCTGCCTGCCGTTTACGTAGGTTCTGGGGATCTGAACCGTGGAGTTCTTATGCAGCAACTGCTTTGCGTGCTGAGCCGTCTCTCCATCCCCCTGCATGGCAATGTGGTTTCATGTGACGTTCTGTCTGATTCTTTAGTATTTGCATACAGGTACTACCCCAGGTTCAGGTTCTTAGCAAGTCCGGGAGGCCAGCACAGGCGCCTTTCTAAACAGAATAACACCTTGTCCGTTTACTCCTCCACACTCAGTGCTCACATTTCCTAGGCAGAACACAAAAGCAGTGATTGTGCAGTGTGTCCATGAATACCTTGACACAGCTGGGGGGAAATAATCCTGACCTAAAAGGACAGCCAGGGCTAGAGAGATGGCTCGGTGAATAAAGCCCTTGCCTCATAGTCGTGAGGGCCTGAGTCCGCTCCCCAGAACCCATGTAACTCTGGACGCAGTAGTACGCGTCAGTAAATGCTAGTGTTCCTAGGCAAGACTGGGGGGTGGAGGCAGAACCCCCAGAAACTCAGGCAGCTAGCCTGGAAATGTGCAGTGGAGAATACGAGACCCTTTCTCAAGCAAGATGGAAGATAAGTTCTGTCACCCAAGGTTGTCCTCTGACTCCACGTGTCATGCTTGGTGTGTACGTGTTAACACACACACACACACAGTCACACTCACACACATGCGCTCACCCAAAAGCCCTGTGGCAGAGATTCGTAGTGCCTCACACAGAGAAAGGGCTTAACGAGGTTTGTTTCCTCATTGAACTAGGGTCTTCTTCGCCTCTCCAGGCTGTAGCTTCAGGAATCCGGAGAAGCAGAGAGTCAGCAGCTAAGCTTTTGAGATGCAGTGCGGGGCTGGAGAGACGGCTCAGCGGAGAGACGCTAGGCCCACAGCCATAGAAGAAATGCAGCGCTGATGATGCTTCCAGCTCTTTAAGCCAAGATCCATGAAAGCGGTGAAATACAAAACATGCTTTTCAAAGTGGCATGCAGCGTGATGGCAGGCTCTCTGCAGAAAATATGAACACAACCAGAGCTGCTCTCACAGATAATGCCATGCCTTCTCCCACTGTGGGTCTACATTTCATACAGAAACAGAAACTCATGTGTGTCTGTGCATACATATGAGATATGAAAGAAAACCACAACAAAGGGAGAAGCAGGAGGGGTCTGCAAGAAAAGTGGGAAGAGATGAGAGTTTAAATAAATTATAAGAATAAAATGACTTCTAAATAAAGCCTAACTTTGGATTTGGGGTCCTCTGTTGGAAATGTGCCACCTACCAAGCCTGTGCACATGTGAAGAACCGTGGAGTCTGAGGCAGAGGGTCCCAGGCATTTCAAACCAGGGTCACTCAACCCGGTGTCCCCCGTGAGCGTGCAAGTGGCTCTTGTCGATTATTTACACCTCGGCTTCTCTAGTCCATTGGGGAGCAGGGAGCCTCCTGTGACCTTGAGATCTTCTGCCTAGAATACTTGGTGAGCTGGTTGGTTTGGTGCTTTTCAGCTCCACACAAACCTAAACATATCCGGGAAGAGGGAATTGAGAAAATGCCTCCAAGATTGGCTTGTTGGAATGCCCATGGGGTATTGTCTTAATGATGGATGCGGGAAGTGTCACCCCTGGGTTGTTCGAGAAAGCAGGCAGGAAAAGGTGGCACAGACCTGGTGGCGCACACCTGTCATCCCAGCACTGGGAGGCAGAGGCAGATGATCTCCGTGAGTTCAAGCCTGGACTAAGTGAGGTCAGGACAGCCAAGGCTCCTGGAAAAACCAAAAAAGACAAAGCAGGTGGAGCCAGCCAGTAAGCCAGATTCATTCATGGTTCTGTTTCAGCTCCTTCCTCCACGTTCCTGTCCTGCTTAGGTTCCTGCCTTGGCCTCTCTCAGTTGATGGGTTGTGAGCCAAATAAACCCTTTCTCTTCAGTTTGCTTTTGATCATGGTGTTCTGTCACAGCAACAGAACGGTAACTGAAACAACTGTTCAGGGCCTAGTTGTAGAAATTCATTTTCTCATGGTGTAAAGCAGTCGTAGACAAAGATTTGCCAAGCAGAGAATAAGTTGTATGAGGTCATTCTAGTGGGAGATGGTCTTTCTCTGTGGCTGATTCCCTCTGATTTACTGTGACTGGTTCGTACAGCCAGGCTGGCTGATGAAGGTGCTGGCAAGAGCCGCATCTCCAGGCCCATCGCTGGCTTCTGGCTGGTGCAAGGCTCTGGGCCAGGGGCAGCACTTGTGTGGGCTCACTCCACAAGGGCCATCTGATAAGGTGGCCACGTGTTCTTATCAGGTGTACAAGGAGAAATGCCACCCTGTTGTACATACAAAACAGTTGCTGGAGACCCCTTATCTTTTGAGAGGAAATAATGTGTGAGGTGCCAGGGGCACAGTGTCACCCTTCCTCCAAAAATGTTTATTCTTGCTGGTAGTGGCAGAGCTAGACAGGAAGATTTGGCTCAGTTTCCACTGGGAAGACAGATGGCCGCAGTTCCTGAAGTTTGGGGGAGTTTTATGAGCCCATTTTTCTCTGTTCTTTCCACCACCCCTATAAAACAGAGATGGAAAGATAACCAGGTACCTTTTACCTATCAGATACCATCCAGTTCCAAATAAAATCAAGGTCATTGTGTTCTTAAGAAGAACCTTTGCAGAGTGTGGGGAGATGGTCATGGTGAGGTGCTTACAATGGTATGATGAATCCCCACCACGCTAAGTGTTGGCGCACGCTGGCGTCCCAGCGCTGGGGAGGCAGAGGCAGGAAGAACCCTGGGACTTGCTGGGCAGCCAGCCTAGCCTAGGTGCTGAGTGCCAGGTCAGTGAGAGACCGTATCTCAAAAAACAAAGACTGTAGAACGTTCTTAAGGAGTGACAGCTAAGATTGTCTGCTGGCCTCACACGCATGCACATACGTGCCTCTGTCTACATGAAGATACAAGCAGACGGGAGGGGGGCAGTGAGGAAGAGAGGGTGACTCTCACAGATGCCGACAGTCCTCTCTTTAAAGACTACTTGCTGATGGCGTGCGCCCTGTCATGGTCGGGGTTTCTATTCTGTGAACACATGGCAGCTCTTATAAAGGAAAACATTTAACTGGAGCTGACTTACAATTCATAACGTTGTCCATTATCATGTTGGGAATGTGTCATATAAGCAGACGTGCTGGAGGGGTAGCTGGGAATTCTATATCAGGATTAGCAGGCAGCAGCAAGAGACAGTGAGCCCTTGGGCTGGGCCTGACTTGAGCATCTGAGACCTCAAAGACCACCCCAAATAACACAGTTCCTCCAGCAAGGCCACACCTTCAATAATGCCACTCCCTGTGAGTTTCTGGGGGTCATTTTCATTCCATACCACCACACCCTGTCTCCTAGCAACAGCATACTGTTGCATGTCCGGAGCTGGAGGGGCTCTATGGATCGGAACTTTGCCCCCATGTAGATCTCTCTACTTCAGCTTCTCTCTCAGCCTATGCTGGCTGTGATGTTGGGCTTCCGTATTATGGACCTCATGGTTTCTTTTGTTTCCTGTTCTTTGCAGATATCATTAATGGAGTTCAAGAAAAATGTGTATTGCCTCCTATGGATGGCTACCCCCACTGCGAGGGGAAAATCAAGGTAAAGCAGAAGCTGCACCTATTCCTCCCACCAGCCTCCGTCTCTTTCCCCTCTCAAAGATGCAAGTGAGCCAGTGAGCTTTGAAGCCACACCTTTCCGGGTGTTTCCACCATGCTGGTGATGGCCCTTCTCTGCTCAGCCACTCCGTGGGCGGGTCAGCAGTGGCCCTCACTAGCCACACCTGGACCACTTTGGCTCGCTCTGTCTTTCCAAGCCCTGCACCTCCAGCTGGCCTTGCTGCTCCCAGAGCTGCTGTCCCAGTGCATACCTGGGTTCCTGATCTTTTTTTTGTGTTGTCTTGTATTATGTGGGAAAATATATAAAATTTGTTTGGCCCACTCCTGGAGACCACTCCTGCCAGTGGTGTTCAGTCAAGTACTGTCATTCAAGTACTTGTTAATGGTGAGAACCTCCTAGAGACAATGTCCTCTGGGCACAGCTGTAAGTGCTCATCGATACTGAGGTGAGTTCTTGGCCTGAGCTCTGCACCGCAGGCCCTGTGCCATGGTTGTGGACCCTCCTGAGGGTGTTGGATGGAAGGCCCCTGGAGTCTTGCTAACACTCTCCTGCCCCCTGCCTCCAGTGCTCTCTGCTTATACAAAGTTCCTCTGCTCTGGCAGCAACTGCAAAAGCTAAGCCTCTGGTCACCTGGCCCTCAGCTTGGGGACTCTTGGCTCTGCCCTATCCATGGGCCATGGCTTGAGTCGCCCACTCCACTGTGCCCCTGTCCTCTTCCCCCCTTCTCCGCAGCCCCCTCAGCCATGCCCCCTCCTCTCGTTTCAGTGGATGAAAGACATGTGGCGCTCGGATCCCTGCTACGCAGACTATGGGGTGGACGGGACCTCCTGCTCCTTCTTTATTTACCTCAGTGAGGTGAGTCTGTTCCTGCGCATCTGGGCTGAGGTCCTTGTGTGACTTAACCTGGAGTTGGAAGAGCTGAAAAGGAGAAGAAGAACTTTTGGCTTCCTCCATTATCCTCCCACGCCCTCGTGAACATCTTTTTTCCCTTAAAGGAAGAGCAGCCTGGATTAGCTGTTTGGTTTGCTTCAACTGCCTATTTCAGTAAAATACACACAATGTAAGACTTTACGTTTTCATCACTTTTTGTTTGTTTGTTTTCTTCTTTTGTCCCTTTCAAATCATTTATTAGTTTGTTTATTTATTTATAGAGGCTGTGTGTGTGTGTGTGTGTGCTTGTGTGTGTCCACCGTGGCACACAAGTGGAGGACAAAGGGCAACTTGTGGGGTTCTCTCCTCACTGGAGATGGAACGCTGGTCTTCAGGCTTGGTGGCAGTCGCCTTTACTCCAAGCCATCTTGGCAGCCCTGCCCTTCAGAAGAAATCATCACTATCTCCAGAACCATCTCATAGTGCGCCCAGACGGAGCAAACAGAGTGGTTTCAGTGTAGGGCCCATAGAGCTCTCAGCCTTCGGAGGGAGATACTAGGAACTACAACACAATAATCTTTCTTAAGTCTTTAAAAACAAACATTCTCCGCCTCTTCTTCTTCCTTTCTTTTGTTTGTTTGTTTGTTTGGTGTTTTGAGACAGTGTTTCATATCCCCCAGGCCGTCCTGGAACCCGCTGTGTAACCCAGATGTCTCTGGAGTTCTTACCCCCTAGCTTCACCTGTTCTGTACTCATGCTTATGCAGTGCTTAGGGTCAAGCCCAGGGGCTAAGTGAGCAGTCTACTGAGTCTGCGGAGAGCTGAGCATTTTGAATATGCCGCCAGGTACTGTGAGTGCACCCGCACTGCTCTGCGGCCCTCACTACTCCTTCTCTACAGAGCTCTGCCCGTTCTGCACGACCAGAACTCTGTACGCTTTGCACTAACTGCCCACCCATCATCCTGCCCTGGACCTAGCAACCACCATTCCGCTTTTTGTCTTGTTGAATCTGAGTGTGCTAGGTAGTTCAGAAAAGTGGAGTCGTACAGTATGTCCTTTTGTGTCTGGCTCATTTCACATAGCATATTCCTTTTTTTTTTTTTTCTTTGTGGGAATGTACCTCACCTCCATTTTTTATTAAATTTATATATATATATATTAATTACAGTTTATTTACTTTGTATCCCAGCAGTAGCCTCCTCCCTAATTCCCTCCCAACCCCACCCTCCCTCCCTCATCTCCTCCCTGCCCCTCTCAAAGTCCACTGATAGGGGAGGTCCTCCTCCCCTTCCATCTGACCCTAGCTTATCAGGTCTCCTCAAGACTGGCTGCAATGTCCCCTTCTGTATCCTAGCTAGGCTGCTCTTTCCACAAAGGGTGGGGAGGTCAAAGAGCCAGCCACTGAGTTCATGTCAGAGACAGTCCCTGTTCCCCTTATTAGGGAACCCACTTGCACTGAGCACATGACTGAGCTGCCATGGGCTACGTCTGAGCAGAGGTTCTAGGTTATCTCCATGCATGGTCCTTGTTTGGAGAATCAGTCTCAGAAAAGACCCCTGTGCCCAGATATTTTGGTTCTGTTGCTCTTCTTGTGGAGCTCCTGTCCTCTCCAGCTCTTTCTAACTCCCCCTTCTTTCATCTGATTCCCTGTACTCTGCCCAAGTTATGAGTCTTCAGCATCTGCTTTGATACATTGCTTGGTAGAGTCTTTCAGAGGCCCTCTGTGGTAGGCTCTTATCCTGTTTCTTGTTTTCTCCTACTTCCAATGTCCATCCTATTTGTCTTTCTAAGTGAGGATTGATCATCTTACCCTGGATCCTCCTTCTTGTTTATCTTTAGGTGTACAGAGTTTAGTATGTTTATCCTATCTTATGGGTCTAGTACCCACTTATAAGTGAGTATACACCATGTGTGTGTTTCTGCTTCTGGGATACCTCACTCAGGATCTAGTTCCCACCATCTGCCTGCAAATTTCTTGATTTCCTTGTTTTTAATTGCTGAGTGGTATTCCATTGTGTAAATGTACCACAATTTCTGTATCCATTCCTTAACTGAGGGACATCTGGGTTGTTTCCAGGTTCTGGCTGTTATGAATAAAGCTGCTACGAACATGGTTGAACAAGTATATTTCTTTAAGGCACATTATTTTTGAGGCATGTTAGAATTTATTTCCTTTTTAATGCTGAATGATATTCCATTGCATGTTTTGTTTAATACATCTGTCAGTGTGGTCTTGAGTTCCTTCTCCCTTTCAGCCATTGTGCATAATGGTGCTGTCCTTCCTGCTTATATAGCATTGGTAAGGAGGAGTTTTGTGTGTCTTGTAAGTTTTGGGGATTTCTTGAGACATCTGAGCTCTTTTCTTCCTGAATCTGCTTTCCCTTGGCCATTGGCTGCTGTGTTCTTATGGACTGGATTTTTACCTGCTGTTACCATTTTTCTTCTTTTTTGTCTGATTTTCATTTTTGTTAATATAGGTACATTTCAAATGCAGATCGCAGAGCAGTTAGCAGGCGTCCTGTGCTCAGATGGTACCTGTTTCTCCTTTGGGAAGAGTGCTGGTCTAGCATTACACAAAGCCCAGAGTTTCCCCAGCACTGCCTAAACTGGGCAGAGTGGCACATGCCTATAATCCTACCAGCTGGGAGGTGGGGGGAGGAACTTCGGCAAGTTCAGGGTATCCTTGGCTACGTAGTGAGTTGGAGGAAAGCCTGAGATATACAAGACCTGTGTCAAAAGATGAGTTAAGTTTATCACTGGGGACTTCAGGGGAAGAACCTAAAAGGGAGTTAGAAGCCAGCTGTGCCTTCTCCTCTGGACCAGGTAGCCTTAGGGGCTGTGTAGGTGCTGGCCAGGCTTGGCCGATCTCACCGCCAGTTCTTTCATTGTTCTGCTTCGTTATGCAGCCCTTTATGCCCTGAGGAGTATCTCCCTGTTTTAGTCTGAAGTAAATGTTCTTGCCATGGTTTTCCTTGTATAGTCTGGGTACCTCTCTTACTAGGTGACCAAGCCCAAGTCTCCCATGTTATAAGGCATGGCCCCTCTCCTACATCTGAATTCTCTCTGATGATTCTCAGCTGATGATTGTCAAGTTGACACAACCTGAAATCACGTAGAAGATGACCCTGTGGGCGTCTCTGTAAGGGTGTTTGTAGTTTGGGGGAATTGAGGTGAGCTATGATGCAGTCTGTCCTCATGCTCCTTATGTGTAGACTGCACCCTCAAACTCTGAGCTCTAGTAACCTGTTCCTTCATCAAGTTGCTTTTGTAAGGTGTTTCATTACAAAGAAAAGCAGCTAACACGCCCAGTTTCTTCATTATATCAAAGTCACAGCCCTCTTCCCTCCGCACTGGGCTTTGATCCCAAGGCCACAAAGATGCTGGGCATGCAGGCCTACCCCTGAGGACACCCAGACCTTTTGTCTGACAAATCTGTTCCCCAGATACCGGGGAACCCCAGCACTAATGACAGTAAATTGCCTGGTAGAAGCGTAGGCTAACCTGGATGTCTCTCCTTAGCTGCAGAGGTACTGACGTTTCGGCATTTGTTTGAGCCTGTCCCTTATTGCTGGCTTCCACAGCCTTCTCATCTCTTTCTGCAAGGAGAGTCAGGCTGTGGTGACCTTCACCCCAGTGAGAACTCAATTAGAAGTCCCTCTCCCACCCTGGGGCAAGACTCTTCATCTAGTTTAATTTCCCAAAGTTTCCTTTGCAAATCCCTTTCCTGACGTGGAGGAAGCCAGAGTCCAGGGTGGGTCATGATTGACAAGCAGGGCTCATTCTGGGTTTGCGAATTGCGGGGGGGGGGGGGGGGGGCACTAAGGAGATGAAAGTGACAGGTTCTGCCTGGGTTTCTGAGCCTCTTCTCCAGCTCCTGGGCCCAGACTGAGCAGATGTGGAGAAGTAATTCAGTGGACTGAAAGACACAGACATGGTTCATGATAGGTTCCTTTCCTTTGAAACTACTTCCCCTAACGGCACTCCCAGTGGAGGAAGGATAGACAAGGGAGAGGAAAGAAGGGTCTGGGGAAGAGAGTCCAAGGGAAATGCATAGAGAGCTTGGTTTCATAGGCCTGTACTTACTCCCTTCCTGAGGTGTTTGTGGACCTCAGGAGCCTTAGACATAATGTCAGTTTCTTTCTTCTTTTCATTAGCCGATTCAGCTCAGTGAGTGCTTCCTGACCTTATAGTCAGCAGGCTGTCAGCACGTGCTGAGGGCTCCTTTTCTTGCCTCAGTGTCATGAGTTCTGTATCTTAGGAGTTTAACAGGAAAAAGAAGAGAGATAGATTCAGATGGGAGAGGAAGAAAGGATGGGTATCACTAGCCACAAAGTGGAAGAGCTGCCTCCTCTTGCAACAGCCGTGAACCTCATAGTAGGTAACACTGATTGTCACTGACAGGATCTGGAAGACGAGCTGCTGGACATGCTGGGAAGGAGGCTTATTGCACAGGCTAAGGAGGGAAGCTCTAACTTAAGTGTGGCCCCGTGGGCTGGGGCCTCAGACTGAGCAAACAGAAGAGAGCAAGCTGAGCACCACTATTCGCCTCTCTCTTCCATCTAACCATCTAGCACCATGTGTTCCCAACATCGATGGGCTGTGTCCTCAAACTCTGAGCCAAAATCAACCTTTCCTTCCTTAAGTTGCTTTTGTCAGGTTTTATACTAAAGCAGCAAGAAAAGTAAGTAATACAAACCTCCAAAAAAGACTCTGAAAAGGATTTATTGTATCATAGCACAGACCCAGTGACCATGCAAAGCCGTGGCCCGGAACATTGTATTTGCTCTTCAGCCATTTCTAAACCTAAACGTGTTTCCTCAAGCCCTTCCAGTTGCAGTTTCGCTTGTTTTTAGAGATGTCTAGCTCCCTTCAGGATGGCGTGAGGGTGCCCAGGATCACATGAGAATGCCCTTAGAGAGGGCCTGGCGGGCAGAAGATGCTCAGTAAACATATGGAGCATGTCTGTGTGTTTTCATGTTATCCTC